TTTTTTCTGTTTTTATCAAAACAAGGCAAGATAATAGCTATGACAAGTTTTGTAGATTTGATCTCCCAGTGAAAGCTGACTTTGGCTGTTGCTCCCAGGGCTATGTTTAGTGTTTTTTTACGACAAAAAAAGAAGAAGAAGCCTGTTTACTTTAAATATCTATTTATTTAAAATATAGCTACTTTTCACTAAACATAGCCATGGAGCAAACAGCAATGGAGCAACAGCCAACAGTCAGCTCTTCACTGGAGGGGCGAGGGGATTCAAAGCAGGAGGATCGCTTGAGCCCAGAGTCTGAGGTGTGCTGTGAGCTAGGTGACGCCACCGCACTCTAGCTCGGGCAACAGAGTCAGACTCTGTCTCCAAAATAAACAAACAAACAAATAAACCAATAAATAAAAGGGGTGCTGCAGAGATATATGATGCTTTTCTTGCCTCTTTTGATGCTTAAAAAAGAACTTAAAACCAGAGGCTGCAGGTTGGTCACCCTGCCAGCTATCCTCCCAGCTGTCCTCCCAGGAAGATGCAGGGCGTTTGAAGGGACAGGACGGGACCCAGCAGTTGTTCGTCTCTGCCCCTCATTGCATTTCCTCGGACAAGCACTCCCAGGCTGCCTCCACCCCTCGCTGCTGGCAGGCCGGTTTTTTTCCTTCTTGGGATCTCAAGTCAAAGCTCTGAAGTTCCGGGAACCGCTCTGCCCTGGGCCGGCTCCCAGTGCGCAGCCAGAAACTCTGCAGTTTGGGCCGGGGCTTCAGCCAAACCAGACCTCCCTCCCTGCGCTCCAGTCTGTTGCTTCTTAAAATCTCACAGTGTTGTCCTGAGGCTTTCCTGAGATAATACTTGCAAATTCTCTTTGAAGGAATTTAGTGATGCTTGAATGTAAAGTGATTATATACAATGGGAAAAGAAAAGATGAAAGCTGTTCCTATACAGTCTTGCTGTAGGTCCGGAGTTGGAAACCAGCCTGAGCAAGAGCGAGACCCCCGCTCTACTAAAAAACAGAAGAAATTAGAACAACTACTAAAATATATTAGAAAAATATTAGCCGGCATGGTGGCGTGCATGCCTGTAGTCCCAGCTACTCGGGAGCGCTGAGGCAGGAGGATCGCTTGAGCCCAGGGAGTTTGAGGTTGCTGTGAGCTAGCTGACGCCACGGCACTCACTCTAGCCGCAACAAAGTGAGACCTCTGTCAAAAAAACCCACAAAAAAACATAAAACATTTGACACAGGGCCTAAACTCCAGTACGTATTGTACGTGTTGATATATGTAATACAGCATAGAGAATAGATACATGCTGCCCTTTGTAAACTACCGAAGATGATCGTGGGGAGAGTTGCAGCTGAAAAATGTTAAGTACAAGTCAGGGTGAAGATGTTTGAGAAATATTATCTGTTGTTCTCAACGGAGCCATCTGTCCAGGCAGGACGCCAGGGAGAAGGCGGGGGGGGACCCAGGAGCGGATGGGAGGAGAGGAGCGCCACCCTCCCTGGAAGTCCCCACGGCTGGGACCAGAGCTCTTCCCGTAGCGAGACCTCATCCAGCTAAGACGGTGACACTGTAGAGCAAGCCAACACTTTCCATGAAGTGGCTTCATGTCCCCTCCCAGTCTGCCAGTCCACCAGGAGCACCCCTGCAGCCCTCAATCGCCCCGACAACATGCCCCTACTCGGCGAGCTGTCCAAACCCTTCTCTTCCGTCCTCATCCTTCTCTCCTGCGCAAGGAAAAGCTTGGGAATGACAAAAATCTCTAAAGCGAGCCTCCTGGCCTTCGCCTTTGGTTCTTTGGTTCATCCTTTGTTCAGCCAGTTAGAATAATTTCCGTCTCTGTTTTTCCCCCCAGAATAATTCTACGCGTGTCCTAAACAATTTGCGTTAAAAAGAATCATTTTTCTTACTTCCTTAACCTCTGTTTGAGACAGGCAATGCTGCTCTGTTCAGCCGCCTAGGGCCAGAATGCGCCCTGTGCGCGCAGCGCTAGCTGCCCACAGCACACTCCTCAACTCCTCTGCCTCCAACCGACCGTACTCTCTGCCTCAGCTCCCGATACTGGGACTACAGGCATGCCCGCCACCTTGCCCGGCTAATTTTTTCCTATAATAGTTTTTTAGTTTCTGGCTAATCTCTATTT